GAACATTGATAATCTGGCAAACGACCGTTATTAAGTATCCATTATATTTCAAAAATTTCATCTCCCATTGGGATGCTGTTATTCTGTTCTGATGGGGCTTATAGTAAAGCTCTTACTAAATAAAGCTATAGTGTTTAGACTTGGGTAGCTCAGAATTCCTTTATTGAAACTAATTTTTAACAAAGATAGTGACAATTATATTTGTTCATTATATGCTTTTGTGTCAGAACTTGCTTGAGAATTCCCACAAAAATCTTGGGAGATAAGTATTCTTATTCTACTTTATAACTATGTAAACATAAGATGCAATATAAATTATTTACAATGTTACATCTAGCAATAAATGCTATTAACATTTTGATGTATAATGTCCACTCCTTTTTCTATGCATCTACAGTATACACACCCCACACAATGTACACTGTACAAGGCTAGGTTGCTTTTCTCTTTTAAAAATATTTTCAGTGAGTTTATACACTTAGACCTGCTTTGTTGCTTTAAATTAGTTTGGAACAATTTTCCACTATGAGAGTCAATTGTATTTCTTTCACATGTGATAGATAGAAGTTGTTCATGGATAGGAGTGTTTATGCCACAGAAATAGGCATGTGCTACAAATCATGACCTTTCTTTCTAGAAAGCTGGTTGTTAAACACTTATAAACCCACTGTATTTTCTCATATTATCAAATGTTCTATGACATTCTTACTTCCTTTCTTGTTATAGACACAGGAGGTAATAATGGTAGCATGTGCCTAGGGAGGGTGAGCAAGAAGGGAATTTTAGCATTTGGGGGAGGAAAATAAACGAGGCAGACATCATAAAATAGTGCAATGAAAGAGGAATATAAAAGAAATGAGTTTTATTGTACAGAATACCCATAAATTCTCATAAAATTTACTTTTAATATATATTTGAAATAGTAGTTATTAGACTCATAAGTGTGATTTGTTTTTTATGTTATCAAAGAAGTATTCATGGCACTATATGCTTAAAGTAGGATAAGTACATAAAAACCATAGATTTTTAATCTTATGCATTTTTTAAAGATATTATAAGAAGAGACCCCATAGGCTGTAATAATGTGTCTTAAGTTTCCTTGCCCAAAGCAAACAATAAAGGTTCAGAAACTCATACGTAGGGAATGAGGTTGCTTTAAGCAAATTTCAGATCAATCACACCACAAAAGGAAAATAAATCTAGTGAATTAAAGCTATTTAGTACCTTTGAGAAATTATTCCATGTGAAATAAAAGAAATTAGAACCCAGTGTGATGGCTTGTGACTATAATCCCAGCTAGTGTAGGAGGATTGCTTGAGGCCAGGAGTTCAATATCAGTCTGGTCAACCATAGCAAGACCCAATCTCTAAAAAATATTTTATAGTTAGTCAGGCATGGTGGTAGTACAGGTAGTCCCATCAACTGGGGAGGCTGATGCAAAAGAATTGCTTCAGTCAGGGGTTGTTGCCATAGTGAGTTATGCTGGTACCTCCCTCAGTATTCCAGGCAACAAGGTAACAGAACGAAACTTCATTTCTAAAAAAAAAAAAAAAAAAAAAAAAGGAAAGAAAGAAAGAGATAAAAGCAAAAACAAACAAACAAAAAAAGCAGAAATTATTCTTATTATTTTTTGGCTGGGGGCTGGGTTTGAACCCGCCACCTCCTGTACATGGGCCAGTGCCCTACCCTTTTGAGCCATGGGTGCTGCCCAAAACTCCAGAAATTAAAACAATCATTAATAATATTTAATAAATATTAAATCCCCATTTTATTGCAAAGATTATTTATATTTAATAGTATATATAAAATACTTAATAAGTAATCAATATGCATATAACCATCTTGCATAAACTGTGTTATTTTTAGCTAGGCTTGTTCCAACAAATTGCCTATTGGTTTCATAAGAGTGATAAAGTCTTAAGTTTCTGAAGTGAAGATAAACTATTCTCTTTTTATTATCCCCCTAACTATTCAGCTACTGAAGGGAAGTCTCCTTGAAAATTACAGAAAGATGAAAATGCTATTTCATCAGACATGTCTTTGATTATTAATGACTACTGTCTGACAAATATTTATAGAGGACTACCCATGCTTACCACGCTTCTGCTTCTAGGTTCTAAGCTTAATCAATGAATAGATGAGACCAAATACTCTGGGCTTGTGGAGATTATATTCTAGTGGAGAGAACAAAAGACAACAAACAAAATAAACAAGTAAATTATATAGTATTTGCAGAGGTTGAATATTTCATTTTTCATATCCTTAGCAAATAACTGCATCTCTTCTGTGAAGTACTTTTGCTTGCCCTTTGCTCTTATTCAATATTGTTCACAGAATAAATTCTTTATTTATTAATGCAGGAACATTTTGTCTGTTAAATGCATTATGTTTTTTTCCGTGTACCCTTATTTGCCCTTTGATCTATTTATGGCATTTTAAGTTTCAGAATTGTTATTTTTAATATAATTGATTACTTTTTCCTCTTACTGTTTAGGTTCATTGTAACATGTACAAAGGTTTTTCTCACCACAAATAATTATGTAACAAAACATTATCCAATGCACTTAGTACTTCTATGAAACCTACTTATATTTACTCACACTTTCTTATGAGATAGAACACAACTATAGCTCAGGATGAAGGAGATAAATGGGGTGGGAAGGGAGGGGAGGGGGGAGGTTTGACAGAGGGAGGGTAAAAGGCAGGACCACAGCTATGGAGCATATGACAAGGGTACCAAGTCAAATCTGTGAAGTGTAGAACATAGATGTTTTGGCACAATAATCAACTAAATGAGGTGAAAGCTATGTTGATTGGTTTAGTGTAAACTTGTCAGATTGTATAAAAAAAAATCAGCACATTGTACCCTACATATGCATGAATGTATTCATGATCTATGTGTATTTGACTTAATAAAATAAATTTTAAAAATTACATTTCACTTATTTCAGCGTTTTTTGTGTCAATATTTAACTTTACATTTACAGATATATTTGAGCTATAGTAGGAGAGGAGGAAACAAATTATACCTAGCAAATGTATAACCAGATTTCACTCTGTCCCTTGTAATCTGTGGCAATGTGATGAGGTCTTTCTAATGGAATGTGGGTAAAAGAGGTATGAGCCATTTTGATCCACTGCTTTTAAAAAGGATTTTCTCTTTTCCGTAGGGGGTGTCATGAAAACAATAGCTTGTGGAAAGCTATAAAATGAAAGTTAATTGGTCCTTGAATTATTTCATGGATCAGAAATGTAGAAAGAACTTTAGGCTTTGGGTACCTCTGTATCTCCTTATGAAAGAACATTTTATTCTTGTTCATCTAGGGTTGTTTTAATCTATAAAAAGTGTTAAAGTTTTTCAAATGCCTTATTAGCATCTATCAGGATGATGACATACTTTGACTTCGTTTGAGGAAATTCATAATGTTGACTGTCTTTGTATTTTTGGAATGATTTGGATATGCTCTCAAAAAATTAAAAATGAATGATTCAATTTTTCCTTTGTTATCCTACGAGACCATTGAAAAGATTTCATCTGTAAATTTATCATCCACTCTCAAACAAATAATGGTCTGTTGTCCCGTGTGTGCCTGGGTATGTGTGTACCTGTGTGTATATTTGTGTAGGTATGTGTTATCTGCCAGTTTCACTATTTTAAGACAGTTTTGATAAATTAATTTGAAAGCTTTCCATTTTATTCTTTTTCGGCTCTTTCTTTTTATTGGAAAATCAACTGACCCAAATCTTAGTGGCTTAATTCATTAATTATATCTTACAATTTCTGTGGGTTAGTACATATGAAAAAGCTGTGTGGTTAGTTCTGAGTATGTTCCTCTCCTGCCTTTGCCACCAAAGAATGGCTAGAACTGGAATGGAGAGGGACCGTAGGAGACAGTGGTAGACCAGCCACTTCCAATAGCTCCTGGAGTCTCAGCATCTCTCCATGTACTCTTTCCTCAGAAATACATACTCAGAGTATCTGAATTTGCTACCTGATGGCTTAGAGCTCCAGACTGATTGGAACTTATCTTGTCTTTTCTATCGCAGCTTTGAATGTCATGTCTTAAAATAACTAAAGTAGTAGAATTGGAATGTACCTACCATGAAAAAAATGATAAATACTTAATCTAATGGATACCCCAATTGCCCTGATTTGATTTTTGCACACTCTATGCTGTACCAAAAAATTGCATGCATGATGCTTTAAATATACATGACTTATGTACCCATAAAGATTAAGATAAAAATTAAATGACCAAATAATTAATTTAAAAATTTTAAATCTTCCCATATGCTCTCCATGACAATTAAATGTGGTTTTTGAAAATAATTGTTTATTAAGAAGTTTTTTAAAAAAAAAAAACAATTTTATAAATACTTATAAAAGAAGAAATACATACACAGAGCACCAAAATTACCGGTAAGGTGAACCCCAGCTCCTCTCTGCTGCTGAACCCTGGCCATTCTTTTCTGCGTGGAAAAAAATAGAGAACAGGAAAAATTCCATCCTGCATTTAATTCTTTCTGCCTATGCACTCAGTTTTTTCAAGTAGAGTTTCTATTCTTTTGCTGGTGTTTTGTTGTCGTTGTTGTTTGTTTGTTTTTGTTTTTTTTTCAGTGTGGGAACTAAGCTTGTTAGTCCAGCTTTGACTTTATTTGCAACTGCTGGGTCAGAACTCTGAAGACGGCCAGAAAGAATAATGGTACCTCGATTTCCATTAGCCCAGGACTTCAGGTTCTTTATACCACCGTGCTCTGTTTTGCTTTTGCAAAACAACCACCTTCTCTTCTTCTTTCTTTCATCTCTTTATCTTGCTCTACTAACCGCTTCAGAACTAGACGCCCTGCAGGATGCTCTGCAACACGAGGCTCTCCATCCTTGCCACCAGGAAGCAGTTCCGCTGCTGCCAAGCTAGCGATGGCACTTGTATCAGGCTGACCCTCTAGAGTAGCAGATCTCAGAACGCTGGGCACCAACACACACGCAGACTTGTCCAGAACCATCTCCCTTGCAGGTAGCTTAGCAAAGCTGGAGAAATGGATTCTAAGAGCTCACGTCTGCGGAACTCGGTGTCTTTCTATTAGCAATAATCACGCCTCGGATAAACCTCATTGGCTACGATACTGCCACCGCGCAAAGCTAGAATCTCTGTGTCTTTCTTACTGTCTGCATTGCCATCTTCCTTTCACAGAACTTCAATCATTTCTCGCACTGCATGTGCAGGATCTCTGGGGCTGAGCAAGTGCAATAGGACCTTCCTTCCATATTTATCATTTACTATGTTAGGCAAGGAACCGATCATTTTGGTTACATGATTATCTGCTTCACAAGTTTGGTATCATCAATGCAATGAAATGCCCCCGCTAAAACCAAATGGGAGTACTGGCCATTGGCCACTTTTTCAGCATAAGTCTTCTTAGTTTTCCCTATCACTTTCCTGTTCTTGGGTGTGCAGGCCACAGGAGTGCGTGGCCACTCTGGCGCCGTCGTGTGTGTGTGCCAGGTATACTAAAGGTTCAGTCATTTCTGTTCTCAGTTTGGGGGGCGCATAGGTAAAAAAAAAGTCCAAGAATAGTTTATGCATCAATGAGTGCTAGTCACAGCTTCCTTTTGGGCCATTGGAGTTAGAATCTGTTTCATTTCATCCATAATGAGCTCCAATTTTTCTGGCTGCACCTCTAACGTTTTTTCCAGAGTTGGGTGACCTGCTGTCTTGTAAATCTGGAATGCATCGGCAGAGTGCTCGCGTCAGCGTGTCCTCTGCGCCAAAATGGCTTTGTCGTTCTAAGAGTCCCACGATGGCCGAGGCTTTCACGTGGGGCAGCTGCTTCCTCGCATGGTCTTAAAGCTTATGATTATCTCTGCAATCTGTGGTTTACTTACATACGTGAGAAATTTCTTAGCAACATTTCTGGAATATTGGGCTTTACTTAATTCAACCAAATCATCTCGCAATTCTTCCAAGGCCTGTTTTCCGGTTCTTCATTACCATACTGAGTGGAACCCTGGATCACGCCAGTTGAATCATGTGCAGATGCAATGGTTTTCATTTTCCCTTGGATCGACGTCTGCGAGTCATTCATTAACTTTCCTCTTTTCTCTTTGTCACAGTCTTTTCTTAAAAATCTCCCAAATCCGCTTTGCTCGAACCAACAGTGTCATAGCTGGTCTGATCGCTGAGTTGCCTTCTCCGCTTCAGTTCTTTCTTCTTCTCTTTGAAGTCATCCCATCTGGGTTTCCTGATTCATCACTTTTACCATCTGGCTGGAATTACATCTTCTTGCTGAATTTATTTGCCTGCTGGAATTTGTTCCTTGGCGCTTCGTCTCCTTCTTGCTCGTTCTTGACCTGCTTCAGACCCTTCCTCCAGGTTTTGTGGTACGTTTCTCCAAGTTCTTAGATGTAGTTTTAGATCCACCTTCCAGAGCAACTTTTCTTGAGAATGTCTTTAAAGAACCAGAATCATTGATTTTATTAAAATTTGTTTTTTTTCTTGTGATGCCTTTGAACTCTTTCCTGTAAATTGCTTTTTCCCTTTGACTTCCGTTGTGGCAGCTCACCCACGTGGGGCCTAAGGCAGCTGGAGGAGAGGATCTGCAACCACCCTTTCCATTTCCTCACCTATAAAAAGTTTATTGAGCCAAGTAGTCCTAAGATTGTTACTACTATCTGAATTTGATAAACAATAAATTAATAACTTAGCACTTGGCTATCTTTGCTTTGTTCAGTTCTCTCACAGCTCTATCTATATTATTTATATCATAATAAGTTTGTAAACTGCTGGTGCTCTTTCTTCTATATTTTCTTCCTAGTATAATTCCCAGGGAATAATTGTTGCCTTATAAATGTATCTATGTAGATAAATCACTTAATATAATAAAACTATATTTTTTCAAGCAAAAAATAAGACAATATTATCAGATGAGTAGGGAAAAAATGGTGCTCTGGAGTTTGGAACTTGGTCCAGGGCTGTTACCTGGTTGGGCTTAGATATAGTTTAGGATGCACAAGGTTGGAGTGACAGTTAACCAAATCACATGTGCTTGAAATGAGTGGAGAGGGGATCCACACTCTCTAATAAGAGGAGATTGTAGAAATATAAATATAGTTTTATGTCCCCAAAGATAAAAAATTTGAATGATGTCAGTGGTATGCCATTCCATCTCTTGTTTGAGTTTTCATAGGCACATGAACTCTTTCATAGAAAGAGTTGGAAATAATGGAATAATGCCTATAAGAGTAATAATATGTGATTGAAAGATGGTTAACCATAACTCTAAGGAGACCCAATGTCTGGTTAAGATTCAGAATAAAGAGTGAACATATTTTTCCTAATCTCAATAAAATACTAAAGATTAATTGGGATTGGATTGGCTTAAGTCATGGCCTACCTTTGAATTATCCCTGATATTTATGGGAATGAGTCTAGATGTAAAACTCTCTTCAGATAATTGGACCAAAAATGGAGGAAAGACCAGAAGGGGCTCAGATGTAGAGCAGAAATATCCACTCATGTCACAAATTATGTGGCATCTCTGTGCTTTGGGTTTCTCATTTTTAAAATTAGGATAGTGAAATTTAAATGATTTTTTTGAAGTGTCTAATACAGCAATTGAACCAGATCATGCTTAATTAAAATTACTGGAATATTTGATTAATATTCCAATCAAATGTATGTGAAGCAATTACCAAAATCTTAGTGATATAGTAAACAGAGTAGTAAGAAATTAAATCCAGCAGCAGGATAATAATGGAATAATGCCTATAATAGTAATAAGCATACATGGCTACATGTGCATTTTGATACATAGAAGTTTATAGTTGAATATGTTAAACTGGTTAAGCCATGCTACAGTAACAAACTCCAAATTTTAAGTGGTGTAATATAGTAGAAGTGTATTCATTGTGAACATCAGTCTGACACAGGTCAAGTGGTTCTCCAGGATCAAGTTGTTTGATCCTGTCCTTTCAGTTTGTCCTGACTTTATCCAGTCTGCAGTAGCAGATGTGATGAGGAAGGGCAGCCTAGAGACAACATTAAGAATCAAGCAATATTGTTGTTACCCTGTTTGGAATGTCATGAATTCACCAAAAACCAATCATATATCTCAACTTAACTGCAGATAGGGCTAGGAAATACCGTCTTCCTGTGTCCAAGAAGAAGAAAATGTAAGTGAATACCTAGCCAATCTTTACCATCGTCCCCTACACATCCTAACAACCACATACCTCTTTCCTTCACACCTGGTAAACAAATATCTCTCCCAAGGCATGAATGCCCCAAACCCTATCCAGGGCTGGGGAAATGCTACCTGGTGCAGGTAGTGGCCTGGAGCCTGGCCACCCATACATTTTAATGTATAGTGGGGAAAAGAAGTCCAGGATAATCAGAATAAACCTCTGTTCATAAATGGGAAGAATAAGACAAATAAAGCAGTGATTGGTCCATGGGAATTTTGCATAGCCTGTCTCCTGTTGTAGAATAAAGCCAGGCGGAAGGATAAATGCCAAAGGCTGTTTAACTCTTAGTCAACCTTTTTTTTTAAGCTCCAGGCATATAGTTTTTTAGTAATAAAGTTCCCTCAACTTTATAGTAGGCGCTGACATTTTTTTCTTTTTTTTTTTTTTGAGACAAAATCTCAATATGTCGCTCTCCATAGAGTGCTGTGGCCTCACAGCTCACAGCAACCTCAAACTCTTGGGCTTAAGCGATTCTCTTGTCTCAGCCTCCCAAGTAGCTGGGACTACAGGTGCCCAGCTATTAGGCTCTGACATATTCAAATCTATTCAGCTTTCTATGAAGGTTATTACCCAGACATTGTTCTTAGACACATATTGGACATATCCAATTTATGCCTGTCCTTGTTCACCATTACTTTCTCTTTCTCTCTTTCTCAAATATCTTGAAATGATTGGGTTTCAATGGGAAGACACAGCGTTCATTTAGTCTATGTTCTTAGGCACACAGAAGTTTTGCTTGGTTTCTAAAAGCCTTTTCAAATCCTGTTCTCTACATTTGTAGTCTAGAAGTCCCAATCCTTAGAGATCCCACAGTTCTGAGCTCTCCATTCATTTTCATCTATGTTTATACCATGGTCCATTTTTTCCTGACCCTTTCCACTTCCTTCCTAAATGTGAACAACACTAACCTAAACAGAACAATCTAGTTCGTGCATGGTAATTAAGATGCTGTTCTGCCAATTTCAGATACAGGGGCTAAAATAGCACTGCCTACTCTCAAATCTTTTTTGTTAGAGCTGCTGCTGGCATAGTAGGTGTTGATCTGGGGCGAGAGTTTACCAGAGCTTTGTCTCTGAATACTGTTGATTTGTTTCCAGACCCTGGTATTGATTTTCTTAGTGACTGCTGCCCAACTGATAAACAAATGTTATTTACTTCAGGCATTTTCTTAAAGCAATACCAATTTTTGTGCCAAATTTCCTGTTAGTCAGGGTAGATAATCTAAGTCACAGATAAATTTTAATTATTTAAAGGCTCAGTGGCTTATCAGAAGGCTTGTCCCTCACTCGGGTAGGAGATTGAATCGGGTCAGGTGGCTGTCTTCCAAGCGGGGATGCTGGAAACCAAGCTGCTTACGTCTTATGTCTCTGTCTTATTGAGGCTTGAAGGTGAGCACAGTACCATTGTGCTTGGGGGAACAGAAGAGGTGAAGACTTGGACAAGGCCTTCTATTACTGGGCCTGAAAGCACCATGTATCACTTCCATCCATATTCTGTTGGCCCAAACGTAGCCATGTAACCTACTACAGAAGATGTTGGGGCTTGTAGTCTTTCTGTTTCCATGAGGACAAAGGGGGCCAGTGAGCATCTTGCCAGCTTTTCTTATTTTCTTTTTATTATTGTTTAAGAGACTAAGTGATAGAAAATAACCAGCTTTTTCAACAACAAAAATGATCATTCTCAAAAAATCAGTTAAAATCAGTTCAACTAAAGCCATATCATGATAGACTGCATAGGAATTCTAAAACAAGCCAACTGTGTGTCCAGCATGTGGGTGTACACACATGCACTTGAGCATGTATGGGGGATGTTTAAATACTCAGAAGTTGCTGAGCTTGCTTCTGGCGACCTCTACATTGTTGTTATTCCAAAAGACAAAGCTCACTTCTAAAATAGACAA